TTATATATAATATATATATATATATATATATATATATATATATATATATATATATATATATATATTAACATCATCTAAAGATTGATAATAATAATTAAATAATAATATACAGGGTAATGAAATTTATTATCGAGAAAATACAAGTGCCTTTTATACTTGCTAAAACATTGCATGTAATATTTATGAACAATTTATATACATACATACACATATTTGCACACATATATGCATACATACATACGCAAATATGAGATGTATGATAAGCGGGCTCTTGCTAGCCTTACTACGCTACTATCTTTTGCCGCAAGACGGCTAAAAAGCATTTTCAGCTTGTACTTGTATTTCGAAAAGCTATTACAGGAGAAACAAGGATCTCTCTATCCTTGTTCTTAGTTCTTAGTTTCTCCGCATGAGGCCCCCAAAATCAATTCGGACTTGGGCCGTCACTCCTGTCAACCCTTAAGTCAGAAATATCATTTTTGAATGCATTATTACTAATTCTATTTTTCGTTTGAGGAGATATATCTTTGTTTTCATCCTTCATATCTATATCAGAATCGCTGTTGCTAGATTTAGAGATGATTTGCAATACCTTTACATTATGAGTGTTCTTGATATTTTCTTTCTTCTGCCTCCCGTTTATCAGGTACTCAGTATTTTTGTTGTCGTCTCACCGCGTGGCGCACCGCGTGGAATGAACAATTTAGAATGCTCAAATCCTACTACTGTTGGCAAGTGACCGAAGTCGCCGGCCTTAACACCTCTGATCCTGGCCTTCTTTATTGAGATCGCTTATTAGATTTTGAGTTTGTAATACTGATCCTGGCCTTCTTTATTAAGATCGCTTATTAGATCTTGAGTTTGTAATAAACCACAATACAGGCGTTATTTTATTTTGTACAAGGCACTTAATGGACTTTTTAGGTTAACTCAATACGTCTCTTAAGGAATACCAACCCATTCTCCTGCGTATTTGTCACTGAGTACAATTGAGTTTACACCACGGACTAAGGAATAGAGGGACTGAGTCTAAAGTCCTAGTTTAGGCGAGAGGGGATGGTAATTCAAGCGTGCGGGGGGGACTGCTTTCCGCCCACAGATGTCTATACTAGTACTAGATCGCTAACTTTAGGCTTTGACGTATGGAAAAACTGAGGCTGGCAGGATTTCCGGTTTCGGCCATGACACCCTACAACAAAATGGCCGCTCAACAACTGCTCAGCAACTGCTCAACAACTGCTTAACAACTGCTCAGCAACTGCTTAACAACTGCTCAACAACTGCTCAACAACTGCTCAACAACTGCTCGGCATCTTTCAAGAATTTTTACAATATTATCAATTTGTATCACCACGCCGGGTATCACATGTGCATACGCACGTACAGATATAAGGCCATCACACACAAAATGACATAATTGCATATGCATAGCATAAGACCGTCTCGACCAATGAACATGCTATGTAAAATCAATATGGCAC